ATGGACCTCGACAGCCTGGGGTGCGTCATGGACCTCGACAGCCGGAGGGGTGTCATGGACCTCGATAGCCGGGTGTGCCATGAAACTCGACAGCAGAGGTGGTGAAAACCATCTCTCTGATGTTTTGTGATCTAAATATCGGAAAGGACCATGGTCGAATTGCAGACGATTTTCATGTCCAACTTACCTACGACAAACCTAGTTGATATTTTTCACGCTACTGATAACATCACAATCACAATTCACGCAAATCTTGTCTTGATGTCGGGATAAAATCAGTTCCACGTGGCTGTCATATCATACACAGAGGTAGCTGACACGTATGAGTACCAGTGGTGATACAAAATTTTCCGTGGTCGAGAGAATTGTGGGCCTTGAGATGACCTCATGATGAACCATCAGATGACCTCCAACTTTTACTGGCAGCAAAGTATGATATGCTTTGAGGCTTTCTTGAACAACGTAAGTCATGAGCACTTATATGGGTCAGAGATATGCTCAAGTTGAAACACACACATACACAACAATATGGCGGGAAGGTTATGCAAGACAATATCATCAAGCTCAAAGTAAACGCCAGGTGTACTTCTGCTGAGCCTTTTTGAAATGTAATTTCACATCTTTGCATCGCCTTACAGCAAGCATAATTACGTATTAGTATGGAGATTCTGAAACTCTTTGAAAGTGTGAGAAGCTGGATGAAATTGGAGGTAGCATCCACCAAATTGGAGGTAGCATCCACCAGATTGGAGGCAGCATCCACCATTGACTCACAGGGCGGTACCACCACCACCATCAGCAGTGACGGCGACGGGGGCGCTGAACAAGAATGGCCCACTGCGCACGCCGAGTTTCGCGAACGTTCCCAAAGCGCCGGAGGTACAACTCACGGCTACGCGTTCTCCCTTCTGTTGGCGTGTACACGAGACTAATTTCAACGCCACCAAGATCTAAAATATTTCTCGTTGACTTAAGCGACTTTATCGAACACAAATGTAGATATAGCATGCGGCTGGATATCACGCACTGAATGTGTCCGGCTTCTGATCTAGAGCAGAGCAGTTTGCATTGATATTTGCGCTCATGTAACCGTTATGACTTCAAAGCAGTAAAAAAGAATGAGAAGCAGCCAAATTTTGTTTTATTGGAGCCAGGCCGGACCCGACAGGCAACATGCTTATGCAAAATCTCCTCCACGCTTGATCTAACTCAAATCAAATCCGCTTAAAAAACCAAAGCCTAGTAAAGCCACAATGGGAAAACCACAAAGGTAATGTGATGCTATCTTGCATGTTAAAAGAGAAGGTTAAAAAGTACAACTTCAGCTCAGGACAAAATTATGCTGATTGTATCGATAAATGAGAGCTAACTGAAATAGCTTTATCGAATAGTTCTGTTCTTCAAACAAACTAGTCACTATTCGAACTTAACAGTTTGAATAGCGTCTACATAGCATGTAGCAGGAGAAAGCCTACACTCTCCACTGCACGAATAACATGAGTGCTTCCACATGTATTTGAGGAAAACAAGTGCTACGTGCTCTTCTTTTCAACAGGCATGCGTAACGGCTGTGTCGTTCTGAGACCTCACTTCCAAATCGTTCCTCTCAACTACCTTGCTCAGAGAGCCGCGTCGCCCACGGACCTTGCGCCCCGAGACTGCCGCGGCGCCCCCACCGCGCGCTGACCCGGCTCCCTGTTCCAGAAGTCGGGGCTCTGGTCGAGCGTGGATGCTTCGACGGGGCAGGCGGTGCCGGCGGCGGCGGCCGGACCGGCCGGGGTCGGCGGCGGCCTGCTGCCCGGCCAGCCGCCCCCGCAGGGCATCTTCCACAGCTGGGTCTCCATGGTGGCCGAGCAGATGGGTCACCACGACGTCCACTACCCCTGGGTCGGCGGTGAGGTAGGCACTGGCTCACGGGCGCTCACAGCTGCTGGAACTTGCTATTGCTTTTAGGGGTGGTGTAAAAATTTTGGATGTGTGCATCTGTAGCTGATTAGCGTAATGTTGAGGAATTTAAATTGGCTCGCGCCCTGCCACTCCACATAACGGCTTTCGGAAAGGTCCACATATGGCGCAGGTAGCATTTCCGGAAGGAAATCACATGTGAAGCGTGCAGTTGAGACTTGCGCGAGCTGAAATGCGTCAAAAAGGCGATTTGATCGTAACATCCGGTTAACGAACGTCGAGGACGTGCAGAGCAGTCGAGAGGTGTCCATCGTCCTCAATAATCAGTAGAGGTTTGACGTCTTCATCTTCATTGACGACATCATCACCATCATCAGGGTTTTCATCAATCGCTGAGTGTCAAACAATATCATGGGCAGTAGCGATCATGATGTTCAGTGTTTAGGGTCGCGTCGACAGCGTGGCCACATCGGATATTTGCTGCCCACTGTATGTGACGCAACAAGAAGCACGATAGCCTGTGGTGACCCACTATCCACAGATGCCTCAATCAGTGGGCTATGGCTTTGGTACATGCAATAGCTCCTTTTTTCCCTGTTGTTATGTGCGACCCCCCGTTCCAGATGAAGATGGGTGCAGACATGCCGGGCGGCGCTGTTCTAAATAAAGGTGAGCTGTCTGGAAGTCCTCTGCCGCCCATGGCCCTGTGGCAGATCAGCGGAATATGAGCCTACGGTGTCTTCACTGGCTTGCTCTTTCCCGTCGCTCCGAACAGCGGAGTTGGTGCTAGCACTAAGTGCATTGGCTTGATCTATTTTCTTTGTCGTGATGAAAAGCGAACAGTGGCGCGGGACGTCACTAGAATTTCAGATAACTCATCATAAGCATCGGACGGCTGGCAAACCTTTACGTCCCATTAATACATTTCTCAGCAGACGAAATTGTCCAAGTTCACTCGGAAAATATTGCCTTTCATGCTTTAAGATAATGTCTTATTATCTTATATTTTATATATCTTATATATCTTATTATTTTATATTATCTTATTCATCTCAAGCACTGACGGATGGAAGAACGTTGTTATGCTTGCTTCTTGTTTATGTTTCGCTATTCATTTAACCCTGCTTTGGGCCAGGGTAAATTTTCCAATCAGATTTGTAACAGGTCTCCTCAAAAAGGTTTGAAGCAGATCGTGGAAATTTTTGGACTTCATTAACATTTTTTTTGACATACTGTTCCAAAATTTCGATCAGATGGCCCGCGCGAGTGCGTTAACAAGGCCGAATATTGAGGGGGCTTGCTGGGACATTGGCCGATCACGCCAAGATGACGGTCTTTCCGGGATAATGCGCGCTGCCTCGCGCCTTCACTGATGATTCCGATGAGTGAGGCAGTCATAACGTGAGTATGGCGACTACAATATGGCAAAAGTACCAGGGTAGTTGCGGTTCAAGGCTCAAAAAGGGGGGCTTCCTAACTGCGGAAAGTGGATTACTGGTTGCCAATGTGAGTATGTAAGGAACGCTCCTTCGTATAAGATGCGTTGCTATGCAGCCAATATTCACAGAATCATTCGTATGTGCAGTGACAAAGGCGTGTTCCGGTTTTGTGAAGGTGGATGCCGAAAGCACTACGGTGCTGTAAATGGCCAATGTATAATTATACCTGCACATGGAAAGCTGAACAAAGGAAAAGAAGCACGTTCTTGCGCAGACGTGCCTCCAGAGACAAGACAAAAGGCTGCTCACATAATCTGAAACAGGAAGGCGCACACAGTGTGAGGCATTCCATCGTTCACTTATGTGAAACGAACCCATTGGAGCACGCGACGACAGCTTATCTCTGCTTCTCGTCCTATGGAAAACTGGACACACTTATAAGTGTACGTGTGCCAAATTTGGCACATGTCCATGCCTGCTATCTGGGCACCGCTGTCGATTTATAGCGTATGGCACGATTGTGGCCGGCAGTAGTATCCACCATTCACTTGGCCTCCCCGATTCACCACCCGAAACGGCGCCCGAGCTCAGCGCAAAAGAAAATGAAGAACAATCGATGTTGTCTTACAAACCACACGCTATGTAAATCCTGGGTCATTCAACGGCACAACACCGTATAGGATATTGATGGCTTAGGGACGGCAGTGCTTGCACTGGAATCAGAACCCTGAACATCGCAGGTTTCACGCAGCCGACTGGTACTGTCCCGGCGTTAACGCGCCGTCAAACGTGGCAACCAGGTACGTGGCCAGAATTTTCCTCAAGTTGAGGCCAAATGGCGAATCTGTTCGCGTTAAGCTGATTTCCAGCAAACCGTCCATAGCCAGAGAAGAGCACTTGCCTCAGGGAGAGGCTCCCGTGCCTCCTCCCCCTCCCGATTGACAAGGTCACTGGTGGCGCCGTGCAACGTCCTCACGCGTGACGCAGCCGGAAATAGCGAGCAGTCTCGAGAGAAAGGACAGGTGCCCAGCCACCTGACCTTGCAGAGTGGGAGGAGCACATCTGCTCCACGCACGGGCCGGGGTGAGCACGCTTGCACGGGCCGGGCGGCACCCGGTCCCTTTGCTGACGCCGCCTTCACACGTCTGACTCAAGCGTGAAGTCAGCCGAGTAAGTTGTGCAGAGGCTCACACTACAGATGACTCACAAACGCTTCTCCCTGTCCGCGACCTGCCGCAACCGCGGGCCGGCAGGTTGGGGGGGGGGGGGGGGAGGGGAAGGGAAGCGGCGACGTGGTGTCGCACGTATTGCAAACGCGCGGGCCGCGCCCCATTCCAGCGGCCGGCCGCTGAGGCGAGCGACGGTCAGCGTGGAGAGGGCCGGACGACGCACGCTAACCACCGGACAGCGCCGCAGGCTGCGTTTCGGCAGCGGCCAATCGCCGCGCAACCCGCAGCGCGCGCACCAATCAGCAGCGCCGAACCGCGTGGCAGAGGGTGTCAACAAAAACAAGCGGGTAGCGGCGAGCTTTTTTGACCGGCCGGCCGGCAGTGGTTTTTTGACGGCGGAAAAAGGCTGCCAAATGCGTCCGGGGAGCAGTGGCGGTGGCGGGGAGACTCCCCCCGTGCAGGACCTGTGGCGCGCCGACATGGAGCCCCCCAGCAACGACGGCTTCCTGTACCCGGCGCGCTTCTTCATGGGTGAGTCATGAGGGGCTCAGCGGCGTCGCGCGTGGACGCGTGTCGGGCGGGCCCGTCACACGGAGTCAGCCGGACAGCGCGCGGCGCGGCCTCGCTCGCCGCCATGGCAACAGCGGCAAAAACCGCCTAAAAGTCGCTCCCTCTCCTGAAAAAAATCTCCTCACGCGGCAAAAACGCGTCGCGGGCGGCAAAAAGCGGGCATTGCCGCGACCGGGCCTGACCAGTGCGCTGTTGGAGGGTGCGAGTGTTCAGCGTGCGGGCGGCCCGAGCGAGCGCGTGCCGTACGCCGGACGTGCCGCAGTCGGCGCGTGCAGAGCCGGTGGCCGGCGGCGCTCGACATGACGCTCTTCAACATGTGGTGGCGGCCGGAGGAGTACGAGGGTGAGTCGGCCGAGGCGGCGGCCGGCCGGCCCCGCAACGGTCGGACCGCCGCGCGCCGCCGGCGGCGTCTCCAGGGATCCGCC